TAGCTTACTTAGGTTGGCCTTGTTTTCACTGAGTAGCCGAAGATGACCTTTGACCTCTTACATCCTGCCTCTGGTGATAGGAGAAGAAAATAATGGCAAGCCCTGTATCATACAAACTTTGTTTCTTTTTTTTTTTAAACTGGTTTTAAAATTTTTTTGAATATTATTTTTTTTAAAAGATTTATTTATTGTAGGTTTGTGAGTACTCAGTGCACTGTCACTTTCTTCAGACACACCAGAAAAGGGTGTCAGATCCCATTACACGTGAGCCACTATGTGGTTGCTGGGAGTTGAACTCATGACCTCTGGAAGAGCAGTCAGTGCTCTTAACAGTTGAGCCATCTAGCCAGCCCCCAATTTTGTTTCTATTCGCTCATTTAAATCTTCACAGTTAAAGAAAAAGTACATAAAAAAACTGGAGAAAAGCATGATAATAATATAGTTTGACAAGAATGATGAATGCTCCCTGTTTTGACTGTTGTAGTTTATGGCTATTATTTTTATAATAGAAAGCATAAGATAAAATTATTTAAAGAAACACTTATTCCTAGTACTAGAAAACACACGGCCTGTAGGCAGAAACTAGCCTAGAGTAAGTAATAGGGGCATAAGCATAGCAAACAAGAGACCAGGCTGAGAGAAACATCTTCTTCCTAGTTTTCAGTAAGGACCTTTCAGTAAGGAATGTGCAATGTGGTCATACTCTCTCAGGGTAGGGATGTATCTCCTTAGCCTTTGGTGCTCCTGGCCTGGAGACTATGGACAGATTGAACTCCTAGGCTAGGAGCTTCATGTGGTCCACTTCTAGCATGCTCCAGTGACGTAGCTACTACCTCCTTGCTTCAGGAAGGACAAAATCCAGGAAGCTCATTCAAGCTCCACCTTCCAGATCATTGGTCAAAAGCTAGATAAAAGTCTGAGGCAACAGAAGAACAAAGGAGTTTCCTGGAAGTGCTGGTCTGCGCTGGGTGTGGCAGCAGGCCTCTAATTCTTGTACTCAGAAGACTGATTCAGGAAGACCAACACTTCAAGGCTAGTCTGGTAAGTTGTAGGATAGCATGGACTTCATAGTGGTAGGTATCTTGTCTTTTTTTTAAAAAAAAAAAAAAAAGGAAGGAAGGAAGGAAGAAAAAAGGTGCTTTGAAAAAATAATTATTATCCATATCCACCACTTACCTTTATAAAGGTATAGGATTCTCTTTTATGCAAACAGGGTCCCACTATGCTGACCTGGAGTTCACTATGTAAATCAGGCTAGCCTCAAACTCACAAAGGTGCCTCTGCCTCCCGAGTGCTGGAATTAAAGGTGTGTGCCCCCACACTCGCCTAGGAAGTCTTTTTTTTTTTTTTTAATATTTGTGTGTGGTGGGGTGGCATGTGTGCCACAGGAAGCACACGGGGGTCAGAGGCAGCTTCTGGGGTAGGTTTTCTCCTTCCACCTTTATGGAATTTGAGGGACCAAACATCTTTACATGCTAAGCCACCTCAACAACCCCCAACTTAGGAAACCTTACGAATCGCATCGTCCTGATACCATTCATTAGGTAAAACGTAAAAAAGTACAAACACAAACATCGGCTCAGTAGAGAAATGAGAGAGGAGATGTTGGGAGGAACAAAATCTAGCTTCTTTGTGTTGGTGCTAAGTACATTCAAGGTAAGTTTGGAATAAACATTTGTTAAAGTCAAAAGAGAGGTTGTGTTAGAGTTGCATAAAAAAGATCAACTGTTAAATGATAAAAAAAACCCAAAATTACCTGCCAAGTTCATAGGAACTTTATGGGGACTAGCCCAGTGTCACCTAGTTCCCAAGATCACACTTTCCAGGAAACCACCAGCGAGTTTTTTGCTAATCGAGTCTCTTAACCTCCCTAAAATCATAAAACAATGTCCAAGTACTTCCTGCTCTCAGGCAGATGGAATTCCTAGTTAATCTAAAACTGGCAAATCCTTGTTTTAGGAGCACAACTTAGCATTCTGCAACTAGCCAGTCTTCCATGTATGGTGCTTAAGGGTCCTTCTTAATCAGTTATTGTCTATATTTATGAAATACTAAGGCAGTGTTTGTGCTTTTCTGTAGGACAGCAAACATCTTTTAAATGTTCTTTTTAAAAATTGTTTAAAATTTTATTACATTTATTTATTGTATGTGTTTGTGTGCCTTCACGCGCTCAGTGCATACGAACACATGAGGTATGAAGACAACTGGAGAAACATCAGCTCTCTAGCGTGTGACTCGGGCTATCAGGCTTGGTGGCAAGTACCTTTACAAGCTGAGCCAACCATCAAGTTCTTTATGTAGTTACATAAATAAGCTATGTTTGAATAAGATCTGTACTCTGTAAAAATGATGACCCAGTAACAATGTTTCCTTCCTTGGGCTGAAAAAACCTTTTGGACAAGAGGTGTCTCTAATCAAAAAGACAACATGAAACTGGTGAGGAAGTAGAGAAGACAATGCCTCAGATAGTGCTGGCTGGAATTGTTCAAATGAGGAAGAGGAAGAGAATGCAGATTTGAAGGATGTAGGTGTATAAACTGTTTTGGTTTGGTTTGATTTGACAGTCTCTCTATGTAGTCCAGGCTGTACTAGAACTTGGTATGTAGACCAGGCTTAACTCATTCACAAAGATCCCCCTGCCTCTGTCCCGAGGGCTGGGACTAAAGGTATGCACTGCCACACCAGGCTCTAACTCTATTTTAAGCTGTGAAATGTCACGATTCATGGGAAAAGCATTAAGGAAATCGTGACTTTTGTAATCACATGTAGAGATAAAACAGCAAAACTGAAATCTTTAAATTCTTCCTAGAAAATCTCAGAAAGAAAAACCTCTTTTCCTCTCAGTGACTGGTGTCTTTATTTTCAGGCATTATAGAGTGTGCCTAAAACTAAGAACACAGCTTTGTGTCACTAACAACGACATCTGAGTTGTTTCTTTGCTCTGTTTCCTGCCACAGAAGGTAAATTCTGTAAAAACAAGTGTTAATTCTTGAACAGTGCAGGAAAGGTGAAGGTATAAACATTTTTTTTCTAACCTTCTTCCTAACCATAAAGGTCCTATACTTAGTATAGGAGTGTAATTAATGTAATGATGTAATTTTAAGTCTTGATGTCCATGTCTTAGAAAAGGGGCTTTCACGTGACTAACACATGATCCTCAAGAGTTTAATGATATTTGAACACGGAACTGGAGCTTATCAGAAAGGATAGTTCTTTTAGAGAGGAGTTTCTCAACTTTTATAGAGGTGTTCTACTTGTGAATTTATTAGTGAGAGGAGAGAGAGCCACGAACAGAAGAAACAGCGCTTCCCAGACTGTTCCCATGGCCCTCAATATCCGGATTACTTAACTTATTACAGAAACCCATACAAGTCTTCCCACTGTTCTCTGCCTTCATCCTTCATGTCAAAAAACTGACAGAACTATAACTGCTCAAAATGCTCGTCAACAGGCCGACTGTGGGGGTGTAGTCTTTAATCCTAGCACTAAGGAAGCAGAGACAGACAAAGCTCTGTAATTTGGGGCTAGCCTGGTCTACAATGTGAGACCTTTAAGACAGACAAGACAGAAAACAAACAAACAAACAAAAAAACAACAACAAAAACTCAAACCAACCTAACTCAGAAACACTGCAGCCACATAAGTATTTGTGGGTTTACTATATTAACAGGTTTGGGGATTAAAAAAAAAGTCCTCAAATAATTAAAATCAAAAGCTGCCAATGGCACACCTTGACTGTATAAATTGGTAATTCACATTTCGTGGACAGTACTTAGCAGGGAGAAAAAGACCACGGAATGGGACATGAGTTCATTAATGATCATCTACATTATAGCAGCCTAGCTTGTTTCCCGGATATACTTTCCTTTCTGATCTGCCCTGCTTTTTAGTACTGGATTCCTCTCTACAATACCACTTGCAAGGGATTTCTCAAGAAGTTTCAAAGACCCAACTATCACATGAAGTTTAAATTCGTCAAACTTCTAGCCTTCTGAGGCTATTCACCTGTCTCAAGAAGTTTCAAAGACCCAACTATCACATGAAGTTTAAATTCGTCAAACTTCTAGCCTTCTGAGGCTATTCACCTGTTCAACTGTTTCCAACACGGAATCCTTCTGCTAATCCTTTTTGGAGGGAGAAAGACCCAAGCCTAATTCAAACTACTTATTCTCTAACTGAAATGCAATCCGGCTATCTTGAGGGAAGAGTCACTAGTGCTCATGAGATCCCTTTAGCATCAGCTCCCCCAACAAACGGCATGCGTGTCCCAAGGTGTTTTCGAAATTACCATTCCAAAACAGCTGTTCATACTCCCAGCTGCCCTTTGGTGATAGGAAGAGTCGTCGTTTGCAGTTCGGGAGTCTCTTGTAGGAAAGGGAGAAAAGAGAGACGGTTCGACAGTTTCAAGCTATGGAAGGAAAAACTAAAGGAGGCAAAAGGGGAAAAAAAAGGTCTGTGCTCTTTACTTTCTTCGGGAAGAGTAGAAAAGGGAAGAGTAACCCCCCCCCCCCCAAGAAACGAACTCTAGAGGAAGGTCAGAATAAAAGCCGTAGCGCTCTCGAGGTAGGACATATGGGGTGGGGGGTCCTGGATGAAGTGGAAAGAACCGTCATCCTCGGGAGAAGGACTGGTTACAAACAACGCGAAACAAAGGGGTTGGCAGTCGCAAAGCGGGAGGTTGGAATATGAGAGATCCGGGGATCTCCGGAGGGCGACCCGCAAGAAAATGAGAAAGAAGAACACGACACGTCCCTCTGAGGACCCGCCGAGGACGTGGTTGCTAAGAGGGACGAGACAGGTGCCGATAAAGACCGAGGAGCAGCCAGCTTCACTTCTAAAAGGACGCGGGGGCGGGGAAGTGTCTTTTGAGTGGAGTCGTGCCCCGAAGCGAGACACGCTTGCCAGGGCAGCGCTCTCCAAGAACGGAGATCCGGGTCATGTGAAAACCGTTGGGGCACCGGCATTTGCCCAGCCCTAGCCTGGCTTCCCCACACACTCACCGCGTCTGCTCCAAACGCCACCGCTCCAGCTGCAGCTACCGGCCGGCGCAGCCGCACTGAGCGCGCCCCGCCCCACGTGACCGGCAGGCTCTCTGCCCACGTGACCTGCAGAGCCCGCCCCACCCCCTTCCTCCTCGCCTCCCTTTCCTTAGGCTGTCCGGCCCCGCCCTCGGCAAGATGGCCGCGCCCTGGCTGGGTACGCCTGGTCTTCAGGTCTTGAGTAGGAGTTCGCGTCCCGGGAGATTGTTCACTCCCGGCTCCAGGTCGTTTTGTTCCAGCGCTACTTCCTCTAGGCCCCTGAAGGCTCAGAGTTTGGCGGAGAAGCTCCGAGCCCAGAAACAAGAGCAAAAGGCGAAGAGAGTGCCGGTGAGTCTGGAGAGACTCAACCTCCCTAGAGGCAATGCTCTCGCGGCTTTCTCAGGTGTGGGGTATGGTAGCCAGGTTCTGTAACAGCAAGTAAATCAGTGTTGAGAATAATCTATAGGATAGTCTGAATACCTCACTTTCGCTACTGCCAGACTTAGACCCAGACACCGCGTGGAGATGCAAGCGAGACAGTTGGCTTTGTAGGGTCCCACAGGAAACAGGAGTCAAATTCTACAACACAGACATTCCCCGCACGAATTTTTACCTAAATCTCACCTAAGGCTATCCCCAGCGCTTCACTTCTTCGTTAAGCTTTTTCCACCCTTCTCTCTCCTTAGGTGCCTAAAAACCCCGTTCAGCGGAGGGTGCAGGAACTAGTGCGATTCACACAGCAGCTACAGCGAGTTCACCCCAATGTGCTTGCTAAGGAACTGAGCCGAAGGATTCTCCACCAGGACAACGACCTTCTGGTCATTAATAAACCCTATGGTCTCCCTGTCCATGGTAAGAATCATCGAGGTTCCTCTCTGAAGCCTTATTTATGAGGCTTTTGAATTCAAGTTAATTAAACCTAATTAAACCTTATTATCCCATGTATGTGACTACTGGTAACACAAACCAGTGTCTAGCCCCCACATCCAACTATCTGACAGTGAGCTGTATGCAGCCTCACACAGGGATTACTGCAGAGAAATACAAAAGCTCGGTTCTGAACTGTGGGCTGTGTGCAGCCGCCCACAGGAATTGTTGCAGGGAAATGAAAAAAAAAAAAAGTTGTTTGCTGACAGTCTAACGGTTATTTTCCATCAAAATGGTTTTTTTAAAAAAAAAATTGCTGGGAGCCAGTGTGCAGCTGTCATCCCAGGTCTAGGGAAGGATCCGGTGTTCAGATCAGTCTCAGCAACAGCAAAACCTCATTTCAAAATGGGAAAGGTAGAGAAGCAAGAACAAACAGAACTGGGAAAAAGAGAATAATACACAAGGTTGGGGGGACAGAGTTGTGTGTTGGACTCTCCCTAACATGGCACCCCAGAGTGGCTGGAACTTACTAGATGTCCTGGTGCTGCTGAATGTAGTGATGGGGGGACAGCTGAAGTGAGTCAGAATTAAGGAAAAAAAAAATACATTTGTCAAAGAACTGCAGGAGGAAAGTAAGTATTTTAGCAAAAAAAAAAAAAAAAAAAATTTTAGTTGGAATAAATCACTCCTTTGGTGGCAGTTCCTGCTCGATTTCCTAACAGGTTCTTGCCTTACTGTTATTCTCTGCTTAGATTTTTAGTTGTTGAGGTTAATTTGTTTTAGATATTTATGTCTTATAGGTAACAAAGCAGAGTTGGAAAGGTCAGATTGCAAGTATAGACAGTAAAATCCCGGGATGTTTGATCTTAGCCTATCATCTTTTTCGTTTGTTTTGTTTTGTTTTGTTTTGTTTTGTTTTGAGATAGGGTCTTTGTGTAACCCTGGCTGTCCTGGCTCTGTAGGCTTTGAACTCGCAGAGATCCCCCTGCCTCTGCCTTTGAAGTGCTAGGATCAAAAGCACGCACCACCATCACCCAGTTAGAGCGTATCTTCTTAGCCTCTCTTCTTCCAAATGCTTCAGAGGAGCTTCTCAGTCCCGCAGAATCTGAAGAGACAGCCACAGTGTTTCCCAGACTTATTACCTGAGAGCCCTTGGGGTGCTCGTTAAAATGGAATTTGTAGTCTGGAAATGGCTGGCCTGCGTTTCATTGTATAGCTGAGATCTCTGGGCCTTTTAATATTAATAATCCTCACCATGTGTTCGTAGCACAACTGTAGGAAATGGGGACAGTTGTTTGTTCTGTCACAATGGAAAGGTGATTATTATCTCGAGATTGAGAGATTGTTCTCTCGAGTTCTTTAACCTCTGGCTCTTTCCTTCATAGGTGGCCCTGGAGTCCAGCTCTGCATCACCGATGTACTGCCCATCTTGGCAAAGATGCTTCATGGCCACAAGGCAGAACCTTTGCATCTGTGCCACCGTCTGGACAAAGAAACCACAGGTGTAATGGTTTTGGCTTGGGAGAAAGACACGGCACATCGAGTCCAGGAGCTGTTCAAAACCCGCCAAGTGGAAAAGAAGTACTGGTATGAGGCCTGTTGTTAGTAGAGGTGGGACGAAGAAGGGCATCCCTTTTATGTCCACTGTAGTACAGAACTGTTAATAGAAGGCACTGTTCTTGAACTCGTGATGATGGAAAGTATATGTAATAGCTTGGTACCTAGAATGTTGAGTGATAAAATAGTGGTTATGTGTGTGCACGTGTGTGTACATTCGGCAGTCAGGGTTCTTTTTCTGTCACTCCTTATTTTATTGAGATAGAGTGTCTCACTGAACCTGAAACTCACTGATTAACTAGCTAGCCTCCAGGATCTGCTAGTCTCTGTCCCCTTGGTGGATGCTAGGATTCCAAGCTCATCATCATGCATGTACACCAAGCGCTTTACCCACTCAGCCATCTCCTCACCCCTTTTCTTTGTTTGTTTGTTTGTTTGGTTGGTTGGTTGGTTTTGATTTTAAAAAAAAAAAAGTCTTACTTTGTAACTTTGGTTGGCCTGGAACTTGCTACATAGACCAGGATGGACTTGAACTCCCAGAGATATACTTGCCTCTGCCTCCCAAATGCTGGGTAGAAAGGCCTGCACCACTGTACCCAGTGCTGTTTTTTAAACATTTATTATTTGTTTTTGTCTGTCTGTCTGTCTGTCTGTCTGTCATACTTGGGCACATGCTTGCCCACTACACATATAGTCTGTTCTTTCCTCTCTCCTTCCATTATGTAGGTTCCGGGGATCAAACTGAGACTGTCAGGCTTAGCAGCAAGCATGTTTACCTGCTGAGCCATCTTGATAGCTACTGACATGTTTTTTGAGACAGGTTTCATGTAGCTCAGTCTGACCTTGAACTTTGACCCAAGCTTGAACTTTGATCTTCCTGCCTTTATCTTCTGAGGACTGGACTCACACGTGTACATCACCCTACCCTGTTCTACAGCAGTGTTTTTAGAGTATGTTCTTTAAAAAAACAGACTTGCTGATTTGAGTGGTATGCATGTTAAAAGTTTTTTTTAGTATTCCTTTGAAATTTATTTTTATTTCATATGTATGTGGTGCACTACATGCTTGCCAGAAGAGGGCACTGGACTCCTGGAACTGGACTTACAGATGGTTGTTAGCTGCCATGTGGGTGCTGGGAATCTCAAAGTGCAGTCAGTGCTCTTATCCTCTGAGCTCTCTCTCCAGCCTCATGTTTAAAATTTTAACAGCATCTAAACTGCTCTCCAAAAAGTCAGTTTCGACTCTCACCAGCAGTGACAAATATACACTCCCCTGTGCTAGTCAGAGTATTTTTTAAAAGCCACTTAGGTAGGGTTTTTGTGTTTATTTTCTGTTTGAATTTCCCTTTCGGAGAAGAGACTATTTCTCCTTGGCTATTTTCCTATCGGATTATGATTTTACATTTGATTTATAGTATTATTCTATGCTTTGAATATTCTCATTTTTTATTTTCAGAAATTGTGCATAAACCTTGTAATCAAGGGAGCCCTTTAAAAATCGATATGTGGTCTGGAGAGAGGGCTCAAGGTTTAAGAACACTTGCTGCCCTTTCAGATATTCTGAGTTTGGATCGAAACACCCATAACTCGGAATTCTGGCTTCAGGGGATCTATTACCCACCTCTGGCCTCTGTGGGCACCTGCATTCTTATGATAGATACAGATATATGTATACAGAAATAAAAATAATACATTTTTGGGGGGGAGAATCTGTATGTCTATGACTCATCCACTGTGGGTCTGATATCTGTGGGTTTAGCACTATGTCTTAAAGTTTTCAAGAATTAATGATGGAGCTAGGCCACTTAGCATGCATGAGGCCCTGAGTTTGGTCCTCGTATGAAAGTATAGGTAGTTCCATAAATAACTGGAAGACACAATCAAATTTAAGAGCTACTGGAATAATGGCAGTGGTGGTGATGGGGGTCCGCATATGATTTCCACGACATAGTGCCTAGCCTGAGAGCTAGATAACCTCTAAACTGAAGTCATGCAGTCTGATTGTAGAATTCTTTGGGGAAAAAAAAATTAAATGATCATTCAGGGATATGCACAATAAAGAGAAAATTAAGATACTAGGATTTAATATTCCTTTTCCCTTTTGATTATAAATGGTAGTGGGTTCTAATCACATATTAGGTGAATAAACATGACTGACCAACAGAATCATATAGTAAAAACTCACAGGACTGTCCCTACCTATGTGTTAGAGAAGTCAGAGAAACTACAGCCATAATTCAGTGACCTGTTCTAAACAGACAGAAGCTGTAAGAATGTAGTAAAGATGGTCCATTGAGAAAGGACCTAAGCCCACAACTCCCAGCAGCCCTGCCTGGCTTTTGTGGCTCAACCAGCAGTCTGTGTGTCACCCTCAGGGCCATCACTGTGCGTGTTCCCTTGCCCTCGGCGGGAGTCGTAGATATCCCCATCATGGAGAAGGAAGTGCCTGGGCATCAGCACCACAAGGTAGGTTCACTGCCTCCTGAGGCATGGGTTTCTGTCTTTTCCTGAGAATCATATCTTGATATCTTTGGCTTCAGATGACGCTGTCCCCAAGTTACCGCCTGGACAATGGGAAAATGGTAAAGGTACGGGCCAGCCGGGATGCACAAGTCGCTGTAACTCAGTACCAGGTGCTTAG